CCTTGCTGTGTTCAATATCTTGGAAATCTACATCATTCACAGCTAGGACTTGGTCCCCTTCTTGAAGTCCTGCTCGGTGTGCATCAGAGTCAGGAATCACCTGTTGGTAAGGAGAATAAATACATGTGATAGGAGTGTGATAACTTCAGAAAACTGTAAGTGAATTTAGTGCTACTCAAATACGAGGCACTATTGTTGGTGTTTTTGTACGTTTAACAATGTAGGGAGAAAGCTTACCATATGGAAAATTTTAAGGTGGAAGGAAAGTATACCCCTGGTGGGACGATGATTTATTTGGCTGCTAACTGAAAGAAGAGTAGTTCAAACCCACCAGCTGCTCCATAGGAAAAACATGTGGCAGTTGGCTTACATAGATTTATAGCTTTGAAAACAAAATGAGGCAATTCTACCCTAATATTTAGAGTCACTATGAATGGGAAATCAACTTGAAGATAATTTGGATTTTTAGTTTGATCCACCAAATCATCCTTGCCTTAGTTCCTGGGACATCAGGGGTCTAAAAATGTAATAACAAAGGAAAGTAGCTATCTATAGCCACATACCTTGGAGATGAAGATACCTAACTGTGATGCCTTTCCTCCTCGGATGTTAAATCCCAACTGTAAGACAAGAAAACAAAATGGGGCCTCCATATAGACTGCAAAAATATCTGGGAACACTACTATACTATTGCTTGGCTTGTATCCCTTCCAATGGGGACTCAGAAATTATGGAAGTGGTATCTTGGTTATTTGGTCTATGAGGAAGTTTCCTCACTTCTTGCTTTCTCCCAAACTCTGATCAAACTCTGAGTCTGTTCCTGGTATGGGCAATAAGAGGTAAATGGTAGACAAGCTCACCTGAGCTCCAGGCGGCTTCTTTAGTATAATGGTTCGAGGGAGAAATTGGGTCAACTCATTGTTGTAGTCTGGGTGGTATACCCTCTGCAAAACACAGCCAAGTCCAAAGATTTTACTACCAATCCTATGTCATAACCACCTTCATCTAGAATAATAATGCATCACTCTGAAGCTGAAGCCAAGAAAAGTTCAATAGAATAGGTAATTCTGTTCATGGAGAAGTTTAAGTGGAACAGATAATACTGTCCATAGAGAAGTACCTGTGGGCCTGGACTCGACCTCCACCTCTTCCCCACTCCACCTCTTGACATATAAAAACAATATGGCTCTGAATTTCCAGAATGTGGGGCACTGGTGTGAATGTACCTTGATTGGAGGTTTTCAGAGAAAACTCCCAGTAGGTCCAGCTGCTCAAAATCAACTTCTGAGTCTGCTGGCTACAATAAGGGTAAGGTTCACTCTCCACTTAGTTTTCTATCCTATCTTTCATGTGTCACCTCATGCCAGTGCTGGGGGGAAAAGTCTGCTACTCAGGTGTACAGATGGTTCCCACCTCGTGAGGAGGGATCCAAGCTGGGGGATTTTCATAGGCAGGCAGGAAAACCACTGGATAGTCATCATAAGGAATTCGGCTGTCCATTTTTGACAAGGTCCTGGAATGAAAGAGTGAATCAAAGCAGACTAAAGTATGATTTAAAAGGGACAGCAGAAGCCCAGGTAGTTACAGAAAGCAACCCCAACTCATACCTGGACTGCCAGTCTAAGGGCCCTACCTGGGGATGTCTATTAGGAAATAGACCCGCTTTGCTATAAACAACTACCTTCTCTGGATGCCAACCGACCTGTTATGTACTCTGTAGAAATTATTTCATTTCTCACACAATCTTGCAATGCTGATGTTACCATCTTGGTATTATTGTTGTTAGGTGCCATCGAGTCAAGTACAACTCAAAGTGACCCTATGAAAACTGATCTGAACCCTGTCTTATCCCGTGCCATCCTCATCACCTCTACTACACTTGGGTCCACTGTTGCAGTCACTATGTCAATCTTTCTCGTTGAGGAACTTTTGCTGACCTTCCACTTTTCCTAGCACGATATCTCTTTCCAAGGACTAGCCCCTCCTAACAACATGCTCAATGTATGTGAAACGAAGTTTCATCATCCTTGCCCCTTTCTGATGTATTCTAACTTTCTTCATCTTTGTTGTTGTGTACCGTGGAGTCAGAACAGACCCATATAGCCGACCCTCCAGCAGGATTTCTGGGGCAGTTTAATTGCACGGGAGGAGATTGCCTATCATTTTCCCCGCCAAGCAGCAGCTGGTGAATCTGAACAGCATATCTCTGGGATGGCAACACAGATCTTTACCACTAGGCAAAATCGAGGTCCCATACAAAAAGATTTGTCTATTCAGGAAATCCAAGGGAGTGCTGCCTCCAACTACTCGCAGGGGCTTGGACTCTTTAGATGTGATTAAGTAGAGGCGTGGGTCCATAGATAAATCTTTCTTATACCAACAGATATGTTCCAGATTCCCGCCCCACATACATCAACAGGTAAACCCCTCATCTTACCAGTCATCAGGCCACAGCTAACATAGACACCAATTGCCTACAAATCAGTTTCAAACCGGATGCGGTTAGACAGAAGGGTGGAGCCAAGTTGACTTGGGCCACGCTTTTCCTCTTGAGCCTAGTCTCGCGATGGCAGACTTGCGAACTCCGCCATCCGGGTGTCTGCGTTCCGATTGGCTGGCGCCTCTGGGACGATTTGAAACTTGGCGGTTAAACAACTGATTGAGGGTCTGTGGCTGTAGACCCCAGAACCTGGACAAGGAGAGCTTTATGTGGCTGTAGACCCCAGAACCTGGACAAGGAGAGCTTTAATTTGCTGAATTAAAGGAGGGCACACTTAATTTTCCGTTTCTTCCATCTTGGTACTTGAGTCTCTTGTCATTGTCCCCGTTTGGGTTTTTTTTTTTTCTTTTCCATTTCAGAGACCACTTCACTCTCTTCATATATTTTGGCTCACCCATAGTGGCCAAGTCAAAACCTCCTGAGGTAAGTTATCTTTGCTAGGAGGCAGAATTCTTAACCTGTATTTTATCCTCAGTTTGCCTGAAACTGAATTTGTTCCTGTAACCTATACCCTACTCTCAGTTTGCCCGAAACTCAATTTCAAGGACGCTACCTATCAAGATTCCGCAGCAGGCCTCTTTTTCTTTCCTTTTTCTTCTTCTTCTTTTTTTTTTTTCTTTTTCAGCAGACACAGTACCCAGGTAGGACCATGAAGGAAGAGGTGAAAGGAATACCTGTAAGAGTGGCACTGCGTTGCCGACCTCTGGTCCCCAAAGAAATTAGTGAGGGCTGTCAGACATGTCTTAACTTCGTACCAGGGGAGCCACAGGTGTGTAACAGCTTCTTGGGCCTGCCTTTAACGAACTGTCTTGGCCAAGTGGCAGCGAGGGGTATGGTCTAGCCTTTCAATTTATTTTTCGTGTGTATTGTCCCTTGCCTTCTTTAGGTGGTGGTTGGTACTGATAAATCCTTTACCTACGACTTTGTATTTGACCCCTCTACTGAACAAGAAGAAGTCTTCAATACAGCAGTAGCGCCGCTCATAAAAGGCATATTTAAAGGTGAGGCTATTTAATTCTTCAAATATTTTTTGAGCTAATACCATGCCAGGCACTATGTTTGGGCACTGCAAATACAGGATTAGATGAATATGATTCCTGACTTCAAGAAACCCACAGCCTAGAAACTAAGTCAAATAACTAAGTAAATGGTTTTGTACCTTTGGGGCTAGTTTTATACTGTATTTGCTTTCTGTGGTTTTTCTCATCTTTAACTTGTAAATATTTTTGTTTGTCCTAGAGCATTATTAGTTTATACGCTTTTGTTGGTTGCTGATGATGATCAGTGTTTCAACTTGAGATTCAGGCCCTGGAAAGCCTGTTATGAGGGAGTCAGACACAAGCAATATAATATCCAGATCTGGGAGGAGTTAAAAGTTCAGAAAGTAAAGGTATAGATAACTACATAAAAAATTTCAAATGAATTAAAATTTTTGTGAACCTATCTTTAAGCAAAAAAGTTTAAAAACTTAAAGACAGAACCAACCGTGTTATGAAAACCAAAAGAATGGCACTAAATCTTTGGGGAACTTGGGACAGGGCTTTAATATTGTTGAAAACCATAAGGTTCTTAAGAAGAGAGATGCCTGAGAATTGTGTCATGGTTGTTCCAGTAGAGATATTATTTGAAGTTCAAAGCAGAGGTCAACTTGAAGTAGAGCTATGCTGTAATAAGTACCATAAAGTTGCAAGGAATATTTGTATAAAATCTAGTTTAACTTTCCATCCACAGAAAAATGTTTTCTAATAGTATCTCTATTAGGTGTACTTTCAGCTTCTACTTAAAATGCTTCCTTTAAGAGGGAACTGATTTCACACACGCACATTTGGATTTTAAACAACTCTAATTGTGCTAAAAAGGTTTTCATATTAAGTTGACATCCACACCCTGTTAATTTCTACCCAGTGATGTTGTTCATCCCTCAAAGACAAACAGGAGACTTCTTCCAGGCAAGAGCTTAGTTACATCTTTTTAAATGTCATAGCTCAGGGCATATTACATAAAAGTTGAAACTATTGGAACAGTAATCTCAAATTTATGTAAAAGTTGCAAGAAGGGTATAAGTAACTTTTTTCCTTGTCAATTTGATAATTTCCGACTGCTTTAGTGTATATACTCTGTTATTCACTTATCTACATAGTTGAGTTCAGATATCATGTCATTATTTGACAATTATTATCTGAAAATGGAGGATGGCCACATCAGATCACAAAATGGGAGATCAGTTGTAAAAACTGTATCATTATATAGCTACCAGATTATATGTGGCATAACCAACCACTAAAAATAACGGCCTAGCCAAGTCGACACATAACTTTAACAGTCACAGACAGCATCACTTTTACATTGCATTTCATCATTGTATACTCCCAGACATACACTGTTTTTTGTTTTTTTTTTTCAGACATACACTGTTAATAGGCAAAATAATAAAATAGTAGATTTTTTTACCATCAATGTCAAGTCAAGATGTTGAGTGAGATAGTTGCTAATAGGCATATTTCCTACAAAGAGGAGCTTCTGGGCAAGCTCTGATGGCCTAGTGGCAAGAAGCTGCACTGCAATCCCAGAGGAGAGGAGTTGGAATCCACCAGATGCTCTGCTGGAGACGGAAGGACAATCTCCTCCTGTACCGATCAGATCCGATTTGACAGTACACACACACGCACACCCCAAAAAAGGAGCTTCTGCTACGTAATTATTATGTTGCTGTGTTCTGTTGATTCCAACCTATTGAACAGTGTTGTTAGGTGCCATCAAGTTAAGATTTTTAGCAACCCTCTGTACAACAGATCTGAACCTTGTCCTAGCCTGTGCCATTCTCATTATCTCTCATGCCCAAAGTATGTGAGATGCAACTTCATTATCGTTGACTCTAAAGAGCAACTTCGTTGCACTTTTTTCAAGGCATTATCTGCCTGTTTTTTCTGCAGTCCATGGGATATTCAGTACTCTTTCCCAACATCACAACTCAAAGGCCTCAGTTCTTCTGTCATCTTTATTAATTGTCTAGCTCGCTGATGCGTAGTAATTGAGATGACCATGGCTTGAATCAAGTATGTTGTTGTTTTTGTTGTTATGTGCCGTCGAGTTGCCTGCCACTCATAGCGACCCTATGTACAACAGCCCTAAACTCCGCTCTGTCCTGTGCCAATCGCACTGTCTCTGACACTCCCATCCCAATTATCCCAGTCACTG